AGTTGATGAATTTAATATTTCAGCAATCTTCGTTTTATGAAGATGAAACATCGTTACCTCCGAGGAAGCATTTGAGTGGAATTCGGCCGCTGCAACGAACAAAGCTGCCGATTGCAAAACCGTATTTTGATCCTGCAACCACGTCGACTGATAGTAATCCTGAGTCGTTTCATCCTCACAGGTGCACATTAGCTCTAACTTTGAACTGAATAGCTGGAGCTCAAATTGGTTCTGAAATCAAAAGTTCAGCCAATAAATCATGTTCGAACGGTAACAATGCTGCAATAAAAGTCATAACGACAACAGCCTTATTACTGATAAGGATAAGGCAACAGAGATAGGCCTGCTGATACCATAATGATCACGACAATAGCATAATGATCACGACAATAGTCTTATCAGTATAGTGCATTGGCGCTATCAGCTGGCAATAATACCACCAGTATCACTAAATCAGAACTTCAGTAAGTGGATGCTTCAGTTGATAGTAGTGGCATTAATTTTGCGATGATTCGATGAAAACTGTCCTAACTGTGGTAAAATTAGAATCAAGAAAATGTGAACTAATACAAGCAGTCACTTCACTAATTGTAGTAGAAATAACCAAAATTAATGCGATAAAGATACTGATGTAACCAACAGCAGTAGTGTGCAACGATAACAAATGTCGGAAATCATGCATGAGACATTCCAGGAAGAATTTATACACTCCAAATCATCCAACACTCAACACTGTTGCAAGTGGAAGCTTTCGGCGTCATCTGCTAAGCACATTGGCAGATAAACTTTCAAACCTCGATACTTTATCATCGAGGCATCATCACCATCACCATCATTCGAAGGATGACGAAACGTTGCAGGTTAGGTTAGAGACATTGCTGTCGACTTTAGAATGTTATAGTTGCAGCTGAGTTCGTTTTGATCCACTTATTGATCAAAACGAGGAACACCAATTGTTCTGGTGAAGTTTTGTGAGCGATTAGGGAAGGGCACCACAGAATGCCGCTAAAAATATCGATAAAGCAAAAAAATTGTTTCCAAACAATTCTTAATTATTTAAGTTCGTAATTGATGGTTAATTGATTTTGATCGACGTAAGATGATCATAAACATCAAGAATAATAGATTCATTGCTGCTAGTTATGCATTTTCCATTTCAGCCATCAATATCACATCGAATTCCTCACGTTGTAACGCCAGGTTTATCACCAGTGCCATTCATCACAGAACCATCAGAGTCGCATCACATGCCTGTTAGGGTGAAACCATTAAGGGCCTCATCAAAGCATCAAGGACATCACGAACACTCGTCTCGATTCACTCAAGCAGGTGTTAGAACCGAAACTCTTAATCATGACGGCCATAAGAACAGAGGAGAGATGACTATTGAGGAGGAAGCGGCCAAGCGAAGAGCAAGGTTACAGGTTCGCGATTCAATGTTATGAATTGACCTGATGAAATGCTCGAATTGAAAGATGCATGATTCTAAATGTTAGCATGGATGCACAATTCAATCTTATTGTTAGAATTCAAAAAATCGAATTCTTCCCTTTTTGCACAAAATTTTCGTATAATTCAAAAATATCGAAATCTTTCCTTTTTGCACAAAATTTTCATGATATACTCATGCATTCGATATGTTGAATTCATTCGAATTCAACCGTATCAACTACGATTCCAATTGTCCGGTTTGATTCGTAGGCGACTGCTTAAATGATCGGATTGCGGCCAATTGCATTCATTTTCAAAATTCACCCTTAGTGATATCATTCAACCATATTGCTTTTTGAAGGCTCGATGGCACAAACTTGGACCACGAATAAAGAAGTTGAATTTTGCCTATAGACGACGACAGCAACTACGGCAGCAGTATATGAAAGAGCGAAAACAGAAACAAACAACTGAAACTGAAGGCGACAATAAAGTGGATTTGGTATCGGAGTCTGTACGAAAGATTATACGTGAACGTTTGAGGCAATTGTCCTCAAAATCACACATTCCAAAAGGATCATCGCATCATTTGAGTGGTCCTATCCTAGCGAGCACCAACGAGAACGAAGAGGAGCAATCCAGAAAACAGGAAGCCTTAGAATTCGGTGAGATCAATTCTCAACAGACACTCTCAAGTTGTGCGATTGCCCCCCAACCGGACGAGGAGAATTTTCGTCATCGGATGAGGAGAAATNTTGTTTTCAGTGAATTTGGTGAAGTCGATTGGAAAAGAAATACTGAGAAACGAGACTACAAGCACTGCAAGGATTACTACTACGCTAGAAACTACCACTGAAATGCCTGCTACTACTACCGTTCCTATCGTACCAGAGGCTGAAATACTTCCACCAATTACGATCCAACAACCTGAACCTTCCTCAACAGAAGATGCGGAAGCATCGGAAACTACGCCGATTTCCGCTGAAGAAACCGAGAATCCGGTCACTGAGACAACACCTGAGGATTACCACTTTCGTACGATTGCTCCAGTGAAAAAGTACAAATTCACACAAAAATTACGACCACGACCGAGACTGAGGATTCGCCGACCAGGTAAATGAATGCTTTCGATCAGTACACTTTCAGTTGAGCAATGGAATTCACGAAGCCTTATTGTGCTCTGCTCTGGTTGTGAACATCTATCGACATTTTCGATGCACTCTGCTGTTTCATTTGATCAACACTATAGAAATTAAGTCGTTGTTGTTTTTCAGGTGAAAAACCTCAAATTCGAGGTAATCGAACCTCATCATCTAACCGTCCATTATCTTTACCATTGCTAACACCGTTCGGATCCGAGTCATTCAGCGACCGTCTTCCGTCAATTCATCGCGAACCCTTTGCGAGTCGTCGATCACGTAAATTTTCACTCAAATTCTTGTCTGATACTCTTTATTCCCCAGCATGCAGCTTGTATGAATAGCATATTTGACGATTTGTGCTTCTAAAGACGACCGGCAAAAATGTCTCAAATGCTTATTGTTTCAAATATCGTCAAAGTTTCAAATATCGTCAAAACGCCACTTTGAAATGAATTGGATAAGACCATTGCATATTAGAGTGAATGAACTAATTTCACTGGAAACCTTCATTTTTACCACAATACACATTCGTCGTTGCTGTAATTGATTCCAGTGAAATTGCGCAGTTTCTTCCAAGCGCAATTCTCCGTTACAATGACAAATTAGGCAATTTCTTTCTTCATAACTGTTTTCGTGGATTCGAAGATTATCAAAGAAAGTAATATCGATGAAATTAGATAAGTCGCTGAAAACAATTAATATTGTCGTAGAATATCTAATTGTTTCTAGTGGTTTGCATCTCATTTACATCATTGCACCATAATTCACTCTGAACGAAAAACTGGTTTCATCTCGGCCTTACGATAAAGATTGCCTTGAAATAAGTTGCAAAACATAAATCAAAATGAAAATTCCATGTGAAACTACACGTATATCTTGAGAAGTTGAAAGATTGCCGCGTCACCAAATAATTTTTTTCTGAAATCAAAAGATATGCTCTGCAAGTTCTCACGGAACCTAGCTTCATATGAAATTTCTAGCTTAAAATCCCAGATCGCGCTAATAATAATGCCACTCCTGTGACATGCTATTTTCATGCCACCCATACCCTTTGATTTTCTCAACGATTTGGTTGATCATATGTCGATTTTGTAGAACATATCTTCTGGTTTAAGAAAAGAAAAAATAAATGTTTGAGCGAACACCTCAACTCTTTGAAAAAGGGTTTTAAATGAAATTTCGACTTTGTTAAAAACAGCAAAAAGCATTGATGAGTACAACGGCGATTACAACTGAATTTTTAACTCAATCTAAGAACACAATGAGGGTGTGACTGTTCAGAGTAAATGCCTTAAAGATGCTATAACAAGATGTTCCTGAAAATGGTCTATGGATTGATTTTTGCCAAAATTTGATGAATATGATAAACATGGAATAATTTTCATTTATTGATATTCATCGCTAATTTAAAAACAAAAATGAAGTAATCTAATATTGAATTCGAAGTTACATGTCAATTATTTCCACAGAATAGAACTGTTTGTTTAACACTGCCATTCTTTTCAGAGCCTTCACATGAAAGTGAGAACAGTGTTGCGATCGGAAGTGGCATCCAAGAATTTGAGAGTGGTGTGGGTGGCGGCGATAATGCCCTAGGGTTCGGCGGTGGTTTCGGCTCAGGAGGTTTCGGAAAACCACCGGTCGATTTTAGCTCAGGCGGAACGTTCGGTCTGGCTGGAACTGGTGTCAATATTGCCACTGAACTTCCACCACAAATTCTACCGCCGACTCCCGATATGACTGCGTAAGTTTTGCATTCCCAACACGCAGATACTGAATGAACAATTGGGGAGTTTGAAATGGATACGAAGATGAGGAATGTTGCGGAATAAATACTGAAATATTCAGAAGAGATGACCGCCATCTCACATCAGAAATAATAAATTCCGATGTTCTCATCATTAAGATCATAATCGTTGATATCCTAACAAGCTGATCAAATCAGATTTTGACTTCTTATTTGAAATGAACTCGACTTAACGGAATAACTGAAATTTCAATCAATTGCAATATTTTCAGCAATCTTACAGCTTAAGCATTAATTGCATGAAACTTATTCACACTATGACGAATGATCATGTACTTGAAAATTTAATTCAATCGTAATAATTGTACATTTCTATCATGTTTTTCGCAGATTACCAGCTGCGTTCATTCTTGTGAAAATACTCAATTTATCGCATACTTTTAAGCGCCATCACGATGGAGTCAACGAGCACTCAGCCACCCACAACTACAACACCTACAGCAACCACGACGGATGTCATATTTCCGCCACTTCCTCCGCCACCACCCAAGGAAGAGGTGTTGGTGATACCACAAAATTCTGGTCTACGAGCCGTTGCACCACCGGTCGATTTTGAAGGTGGTTTCGGAAGTTCGTCACATGGCTCGTCACCGGATCTATTCGGTTCCGGCAGCGGTGGTTCTGGCCTGATTCCGAGCGGATCCTCAGGAAGTAAGTTGTTTTTGGTGGTACTTTGTCCACGAGCTCAATGAGAGAGTTTCGATCAGGTGGCTATCAAATTCATGTTGTTGAGAAGGAAGTTGTTCTGACTTTGATGTTGAGTATTTGCTGAATGATTAAGAAAGTGATCGTTCAGATGTTGATGAATCGATGTTCACTGGTGAGTCTGCGCTCACGCCGAATCGCAACGGACCGACCGGCGATGGATTCGGTCCACCGTTGTTCCCGGGTGCTGCTGTACCGCCACCAGTTCCGGCTATAGGTCTTGGTGGAGATGCGGCCGGATTATCACCGTACAGACTCGATCCTGATCATCTGAAGAATCCACCGACAACGGTACGAATTCGCACAAGCACAGTTGTTTAAAAGAGTTGCTTGTAAACCCAAATACCGCATGAACAGCTGCTATTTTTACAATTTTTTGACAATTTACTTCAGCACAATGATATTTGAAATTTTACAACAGATTATTATAGGTGGAGTTCATTGTTTTGGATTTTCTTTCGATGTAAGTGATGGTTTCGATTTTCAGGTGAAGCCATCAGCGTTACTGAGTATGTTGAGCAAAGCTGACATAGGTTTCAATCAAGCGATTAATCATTTTGAGCAAGGAACGCCACTCGAATCAGCTGCTATCGATATCCTCGAGGTGAACTTCACT